CTGCATCCTTTCCTTCAAGGCTCAGGGGTCCAAGATTATCTTCTGTGTCTGTGTTAATTGGTTTCCCTTTTCTTTGTTGAAGAGGGTCTGTGTAATCCTTCTGCCTAGTCCGCCATGTTGCCCCGCCTCCAATCTTGGTCTTTCTTATGTTTCTAAAATTTTCTTCCATATTTTCTCTCCCACTCTATCTAGGATCTCCAATTTTGATCCCTTTCCACAATATAATTAAAAAAAGCAAACCAGTGGCTGCTGAGTCAGCTCTGATTCATGGTGACCTCATGTGTGTCCGAGTAGAACTGGGCTCCAGAAAGTTTTCTTTTCATTGGCTGGATTTTTGAAAGTTCATCACCAGGCGTTTCTTCAAAGGCACCTCTGGGTAGATTCAAACCACCTTCAGTTAGCAGCCAAGCTCATTAATTATGAGGGACACCTAGCAATAAGAATAGTCACATTTATCAGGCCCTTAAGATGTGCCAGGGAGCTCTGGTGGTTAAAGCATTTGGCTGCTAACCAAAAGGTTGGTGGTTCAAATCCACCAGCTGCTCCATGGGAGAAAGGTGAGGCAATCTGTTTCTGTAAAAATTTAAAGCCATGGAAACGCTAGGGGGCTGTTCTGCCCTGTCCAACAGGGTCTCTATGAGTTGAGTTTCACATGATGGCAGTTGGTTTGCTTTGTATATGATGCACCAGTCACTCTACTGAGTGGTTTCTGTGTTTTCTCCCATAGTGTAGGTATCATCCATCCCACTTCACAGATAGGTCTCAGAGGAGTTAAGTAAGCTGGCCAGGGTTACTCAGCTAATGGGAGGTGGAGCTGAGAGCCTCGATATAAATACTGGGTTATTGAGGGACTAAATGAATGACTAAAGGGATTTGGATGCTCACCGAAGAGAGCCTCCCCTTCCTAGAACTCTCACTTCATCTTTGAAGGTCTCCAGAGCCAGTTACCATGGGGTAACTGGAATCTTCTAGGACTTCACTTGGTCCCTTGGGTCAAGCTGGGCTCTGCTTCACTATGACCCCCCCCCCCATTGTTCCCATTCCAGAGTGACACAGTCCCTTAGAGCATCTGAGAGAGTGATGTCTCCTCTCAGGCCCATCCCTCCCCTGGGCTCAGCTGTCCTCGTTTCCCTGCCCTTCTTCCTCCCATCCTCACCTGCACTGTGACAACGCCCTGACCATGCCCATTGTCCTTTGTCCACTCCTGACACTCCCCCTCCCTCCTTTAAGGAGCCAGTATGGCCCTTGCACTTTGGTGGTCCCAAGTGGGCATAAGCCTCCAAGTGGCCCAAACAGCTTCATGCCCCCGAGGCCCCATGCTCCTGTGTACTCTGAACATGCATGTACTCTCTCAGCAACTGCATCAGGCCATGGGCTTGTACTGAAAACATGCCTTAAGTCCCCTGTGAGCCCAAGAGATGGTTTGCCAGGTGATTTAAGTGCATGGATGAATAAGAGCTCCTTACATGGTTTTGCCAGGGAAAAACGCAATCCCAGTTGCAAAAAGTACATTTTGGGATGACAGCAGAAGGGACAGTCCAGTGGCTAAACAGGAGAAAGTTTAGTTTGGTAGAAAAAAAGAGTCAACTTGGAGTCAGAGACCTGGTCCAGGCCTTGCTGGCTGTGTTTAGTCCTTATTGCCAACCCACGGTGGGATGTATAATTGTTCCTGTTTTATAGATGAGAATTTGAAAGAGGCTGGAAACTAGGCCAGGGTCACAGCAGTGCAGCGAGTTCTCCAAGCCTCATTCCTTACCTGTAGAGTGGGGTGACAGCCTTTGTCCACTGCACAGGGGAGCTGGAACACTGACCCCTCAGAACCTCTTGGCTGGTGGTCTCCTTCACCTTCACCTGCAAAGAGGCCCCCACGCCCAGAACCTAGGGCAGAATATCTAGACATTCTCTTTAAATTGTAGTGACTGTCGTGTGGGCTTTGTGGGCTTCTACAAAATGAGTGTTATGTGAGTGTCACCTCGTATGCACATGCTGAGGCCAGTGTCTACTTAGAAGCACAAAGAGGGCAGGGTCGTGGGACCAGTATTTCCTCCTGCGCTCCTGCTACCCCGCCCCACCCCACTGTTTCCACAGAGAGCCATCCGTGTGCGCAGCCACTCCATGGAGACCATGGTGGGCAGCCAGAAGAAACAGCACAGCGGGGGCATCCCTGGCAGCCTCAGCGGGGGCATCTCCCACAACAGCGTGGAGGTCACCAAGACCACCTTCTCGGTGAGTGCTGGCAAGCTCTGGGGTGGCACGTGGGAGCCAGGAGGCTCCCCTAGGCCAATAGAGAAAGGATGCGCCTACTTCAGGCTTGAGTTAGATCATAAGAGCAGGGCAAGCTGGATGACAGAGGAAAAGCAAAGCTGCCTGGGAGGTCACCCGACCCCTGCCCTCTGCAAATGGTCCTTAGGGGCCTCCATCCACAGCTGCAGCCAGGGCCCATAACTGTGTGAGGGGTGTGCTTGCTTTCTGATTAGTGATGTTAATAGCCACCATTTAATGGACGCTTACTCTGCACTAGACACTGAGCTAAGCAATTCGTAGACATCTCATTTGATCCCTATAACAGCTATTCGAGGTAGGTGATGATTTTACATATGAGGAAAAGGGAGCCCAGAGGGGTTAAGTAACTTGCTAAAGGTTACCCAGCAAAGCTGAAGAACTGGAATTTAAATGCACGTCCTTGATCCAAACTCTATGTTCTTAATGACTGTGCATACAATTCTCAAACAAGAGTGCCCTGAAGGTCTGCGAATTGGGGCCTGGTCTCCTTGCACCAAGGGCTGGCAAGGCAAGAGAACCATGTAGCCCACACTTTCATAAAGCAAAGTGGCTTTGGATTTGTGTAGACTAGGATTTTTGTTTTTAAAAGCAAAACATACCTCTTGATTCTAATGACTAGTATTTTAAATGGTCTTATAAACTTTATTCAACTTCCCAAATAGTTTCATGGCATTGTCTGGTTTTATTTCCCAGAAGGTCTGCAAGGAGAGCAGGGCAGGGCAATTATATCTTTTATGTGGATGAAGAGATAGAGGCTCAGAGAGTGCTGCCACTTGCCCAGGTTGCACAGCACATGAATAACACATGACTCCAGGCTCCTGTCTCCCCTTCCTAAAACTCCACCACTCTCTCTGTCTGAGAAGATGATTTTTAGCTGGCTCCTTCTTACCTGTCCATGCACATGGACCTGGCCCTGGCCCTCTCCATCTGTCTTGCTCTTGGCGACTCCCAGCCTGGGTCCTTTATTTGAGAGCAATGGATCGAGAATGAGAAGCCCTGAGTTCTTATCTTCTTCCTGCCAGTCATTAGCTGTATGACCTTTGCCAAATATCTTTCCCTCTCTGGTCCTCAGCTTCTTCACTGATAAAATGCCAGCTTGGACCATGTCACTCTAAGGAGCCCTTTGTGGTTCTTGGCCTGTGGCCCCCAAATTATCATATCCCTCTTAATCTGTGGGGCTCTCCAGGACCCTGGCCTTCAGTGGATTCTTTTCTAGGGTCACCTGGCTTGGCTTAGAAAACAAGCTGGAACTGGTTGAGTCTCAAGGTCTCAGCTCCTGTTATATAGATTTTATTGTTTCTAACTCTCTAGGTATTTTCTGGGGTCTCCTCCAATCGAGTCAGTTGAGAGGTCTCAGGGAACCATTTGTAGACCAGGGAGGGAAGTGTGGGTTTGGGGTGTGAGCACTCACGTTGCCAGTTTAATTGGCAGCCTCCCGTGGCAGCAGCAACGGTGAAGAACCAGTCGCGGAGCCCCATCAAGCGGCGATCAGGGCTCTTTCCTCGTCTGCACACGGGCTCCGAAGGCCAGGGGGACACCCGGACCCGGTGGTAACTGTTGGGTCCCCACCACTTCAGTCTGACTGTGGGGTCTGTCGGTTCTCCATCACTGCAGCCGCCAGGTGCCCAGCCTTGGCCATGGCTTTGCTCAGCTTCAGGAGGTGACGTCCCTCTAACCCAGTCCCCCACTTCAGGCACCTGGACACTGACACTCCGTCAGCTCTTTTTCCACGGCGGCTGATTCGTCCAGTCTCTCCATAGTACTTTCCAAAGTCATTCCTGAAGCCTTTTTTCTCCAGGCTGAAAACATAGCTTACATTCTCCTCTGCCTCTGCTTTTTCCAGTGTTCACTCAAATGTCCCCTTTTTTGTAAATCTTCCTTGATTTATTCTGCCAAAACCAAACCCAAACCCACTGCTCCATTCAGCTTTCTGTACTGTGTACATGCTGATGGTTTCCTCATCCCGGATGATTGTCTTTGTCCAGTCTAAGGCTTAATAAAAGAGTCTCTATAGGGGAAAAAAAAAACAA